AGGTGTACATCATACATGTGATGGCAAATTCGCGACTCGCATCACAACCCGTCCCGCATCGCGCTTGCCATCCGTTCATACGCCATACGCGCAGAACACCATTTCCGGGAACTTCTCGGGCTTCAGTATCCAGTTTAAGATGGAGCTTGAGAAGCACCACGTTTTAAAAGATCCACCACCACTGTGAGGGCCTCCGCGGCTTGACGTCATGGGCAGATGGAGCGTTGCCGTCGCTAAGGGCGCTTCATTTCAGACACCTTACCCAGAAACCCCGTACAAAGTCCCTCATTTGCGGGTTGCAATCCGGAGGAGAAGGAGCAGGAGGTGGTGGTGGTGGTGGTGGTGGGAAGCCACCAGCTCTGCCTCGGGTTTTACGGAGACCATCTACCTACGAATACGCATGTCTTTAGCTATCGCAAACGGCGACGGCTGAAACGGCGCCAGAGTGGCTGTCTGTCTGCAATGTCTCTGCAATGTGTCCTCGGGAAAAATAGACCGAACAATGTTCCTGGCTAAGGCTCCAGTTTAATTCTAGAAAACTTCTCGCGTCCGACCGTTGCGAATCGTGATTGAATGGCAGATTCACGCTAGAGGCTGAAGTTCAATCTATTTGCCACCACCCGAAAAAAGCGATGGGAAAAAATAGAGGCACAGATTGAGGCTCAACAACCAAGATCTTGGCTGTGCTGAACTATACCTCAGCCTCATAACGGGCAGAACCAGGACACCATTTCGTCTGATACAGCGCCCGTGCCGGTATCGATAAGCCATGAATCGCCCTTGTCAGGCTAGGCGGGATTCGGGATGGTCCATGGAGATTGAGGTGAGGGCCTCAGTCTACTCAGGCGGCAGTACATACGAGCGCGCCTGGCCGCCAGCCTTCAGGTAGGTATGCGGGTACCCCCTGACTCGGTCGTTGTCCATCGGCTCAGCACCGGCGGAGACACGGCACGTCATCGGCCCATTGCACGGCGGAGCAACGGCCCAACGCCGGCGGAGAAGTTCTACGTCATTGGCTCCAGTTGTGTGCGGGTCAGAGACTGAGAAGACCCCGTTATCGCTGGTCTAACGGGGCCTCAAGACGGTTCAACCCAGTACCGTCGAGACAACGGACGGAGACCGACTGGGGAACCGCCGGCACCGACTCGAAAAACAACATCGAGATACCGTCTCAACACCAACGAGGTACAGACCCAAATTCTACGGGGCACTGTCCCCAGCCTCAACGGGGCATCAACCTGGTAGGGACGGGACATTTACGGCGGGTCCGCCGCAGGCGACAGCAAGACGCCATCGGTCCGAAAAAGGAAACAGGAGGCCATCCACTGTTGTTCTTCAGAGAGACATCGAAAAGGATAAAAAGGACGAGATGAATCTGCTTCAATGGGTCTTTTTTCGATCCAGCATCACACACCACTCCAACACAATCTCATCACATTCAAATACTCTTCTCCGCGCCTCTCAACAACTTCATCTGATACCCAGCTCTCTCCAACATCAACAACAACTTCGACACTTTCGATTTACACCACCACCACACACTTTCAAAATGGCCGCCGTTGAGTTCGCTTCCCGCAAGCCTGAGCTTGGTATGGAGAAGGTTATCAACCCTCGCCGCCAGGACTCTGGATACGCCTCTCCCTGCGACTCCCCCCGCCTCACCGTCCAGCTTAACGATGGCAACGAGATTCCCCAGATTGCCCTCGGTGTCTACAAGGCCCCCAACGGCCAGGAGACTGAGGAGGCTGTCATCGCTGCCCTCGATGCCGGATACCGCCACATCGACTCTGCTGCCAGATACGCCAACGAGGAGGCTTGCGGCCGCGCCCTGAAGAAGTGGCTCCAGAAGACTGGCACTCCCCGCAGCGAGGTCTTCATCACCACCAAGCTCTGGGACGCTGACCACGGCTACGAGGCTACCTTCAACGCCCTCTGCGACTCCCTGAAGAAGTTCCAGCTCGACTACTTTGACCTCTACCTCATCCACTCCCCCTCTGACGACAAGGAGAAGCGCATTGCCTCCTGGAGAGCTCTTGAGACCGCCCAGCGCCTCGGCAAGGTCCGCTCCATTGGTGTCTCCAACTTCGGTGTCAACCACCTCGAGGAGCTCTTGGCCGAGACCTCTGTTGTCCCCGCTGTCAACCAGATTGAGGTCCACCCCTTCCTCCAGCGCCAGGACCTCGTCGACGTCTGCCGCCAGCACGGCATCGCCATCGAGGCCTACTCTCCTCTCGCACGTGGCAACAAACTCGAGGACCCCGTCATTGGCAAGCTTGCTGAGAAGTACGGCAAGACCCCCGCGCAGATCCTCCTCAACTGGAACGCCGCCAAGGGCAACATCGTCCTCCCCAAGTCTCTGACCGCCCACCGCATCAAGTCCAACTTCGAGTCTTTTGACTTCGAACTCTCTCCTGAGGACGTCCAGGTCATTGACAACCTTGAGGAGGGCTACATCACCGGCTCTCTCCACAAGACCGAGGACTAAATGCCTTGAATGGCATGTGCTTTGACGCACCCCTTTCGTTCGGCACCCCCACCACTGGATTCTCCAGCAACACGAGCTTTCCTCCATCCTGAGAGGCTACGGAACAGCCTTTACGATTGCCGACGACGAGCATCGCACGTCGTCCACCCAGGACATGATAAGGAGTTGATTGCTACTGGCGCCATTGCGCCCTCTTCCCCCGCCGAAGAGCATTTATTTCGGAGTATGGGTTTGGTTTTGGGATATCATAGAGATTGCATAGATCTTTGTCTAGACTAGCGCGCTAGGCATCAGTCAGGCTTGTTCTGATACGAATTTACGTCTTCATCTTCACATCTTCAGCTTCCATCGTGATATTTAGCGAATAATATGGCAGAATGTGACAATGGCAAGATCCCAGATCTTTTCATGCTGCAACGGTTTCCTTGGCTATGAATGGGTCCACAATGCATTCATGCCTTCTGCCTGGAGGATGGCTTGACGAAAACTGGGTCACCCCAAGGCATCATGTCCTGTCGTCTGAAGTTTCTTCCTAGCTGACGTCGATCACGAATTAGAGTCGGGAAAGCCGCTAGTCATTCAAAGGAGCACACCGCAATTTCAAGGTCAATCAGTAGCCCGGGCCGCCTTTTTGAAAACGAAATTGAAACGAAATTCTGAGGTTGAAGATCAGCTTCTCAAGAATCGCCGATTCCGTTAAGTTCGAAGCAGGCCGAGCGTAGATTTCGCTTGGCATTCCCATGTGTGATCTTCCATGAACACGGTTCGCGAACTTGTCCGGATTGATATCAAACTCAAACTGCGCTGATGTACACAAGCTGCCAAAAGCTAGTTCTTCCACTGATGTCCGTTGGCTCCGTTTGTTCTGCCGTCATATTGGTACCGTTCCTCCAGCTCGAAGTATTTGTTGAATCCAACACCGTCGCACACTTCCGCATAGGAAAGAACGGTTGGTGGTTTGCCGACGGTGAGGGAACCCTTGAGTGCCTCCAGTGTTTCCCGGATGCTTCTCAGTTTGGCTGCGACGAGTGTCCATGGATATGCCACTCCGCAATATCCGAGTTCACCCAGTTCCTTCGCGGAAAGGTTCTCCGTCTTTCCGCCCTCAATGATATTGGCGAAAAGGGGGAAGTCGAGATCCTTCCGCAGGCGCGCCATGGTCTCACGATCGGGAAGGGCCTCTACAAAGACAGCGTCGACTCCAATCTCGATTGCCTTCTTGGCCCTGGCAAGCGCCTCATCATACCCAAGAATAAGACTGTCGGTTCGAGCCATGATCCAGATATCCAATCCTTCGTTCCTTGCATCCACTGCAGCCTGCCATCGAGCGTATGCCTCACTTCTGGAGACCACACTCTTGCCAGCGGTGTGACCGCATCCTCGAACACTTAGCCCCAGCTCATCATCAAATTATGGAGGGGTTGATAAAATATCTTACTCTTCGGCCAAGTCTGGTCCTCAATCATGATACCGGCAGCTCCTGCTGTTGCGAAGCTATTCAGAGTAGGTTAGCCTTCATAGAGTACAGTGTGACTGCATGTTACCGTACCCTTCCACAGTTCTTCTGACATTCATAGGACCGCCGTATCCAGTGTCGCCATCCACGAGAATTGGGACGCTGGTCACTCTTGCAACTTCTTGGACCTTCGCTGCGACCTCCTGGAATGCAATGTATCCTGTATCAGGCAGGCCAAAAGCAGAAGCCATGGCGTAGCCAGCAAGGAAGACAATGGGAAATCCGGCTTCCTCGCAAAGTCGAGAGCTGAGAGCATCGTAGCTGCAGACGTGTGCAACAATTTTGGATGGGTCATCATGAGCTTCCTGCATAAGGGAGCGGAGCTCGGACGCCTGCAGGGACGGAATCCGTCCGCGAGAGCTGTCTAAGCTAATGATTGCGCGGTCGCCGCTTTTCTTGACATTTGGCAGGCTGTTTGTCTCGAAGTGAAATGGATAAGGGTTCGTGTTCACAATTGATTTGGACATGGTGTGTGAGTTCGAAATGGTTGAATTAGTGAAACTGAATCTGTGAGTGTTGGGCTGGATGTCCACCTGCCCGTACCAAGTTCACCACAGAAACTGACATCTTATATACTCGGTTGATGATGGGTTCTGTGCACCAAAAACAATATCTTCCCCGTCCGATTTTCGGAGAGGTGAAGCGCAAGCTGTGAACTTCGGCAATGTGTTTTCCAAAGGTCTTTGAAGATGCCTCGTGGCCAGTCCATCGTCAGCGCCGCTTCGTGCGGGGGAGGGGATCCAAGCACGGGTGGTGCTGCGCGGCGGGGCATGCAAGGACGGACCGACGCGGATAGTAGCGGAGCGTCGCGGGCATGATTTTCCTCCTCGTCACTTTCTTCAACTGATCGTCAACAACGTCGGCTTACTGCTAATTGCATAGACTGGATACTTGAGTGGTTTCACGAGGTAAGATCAGTCCTAATGGCCCACACAGCTCCTTATTGACTCAAGCAGGCCGCCCATAGACTATCTTTCATATTCATGATTGACACTCATGATGAATGGTGGATCAAGGGCCGAACTTGGGGATGACTCGGCACCGCAGGAGTCCCCACGGTACAGACGGACATATGTGGCTTGTGATTCTTGCCGAGCTCGAAAGGTTAGATGCAACATGGGAGAGAAGCCGCCTTGCGCGAAGTGCAAACGAGAACATCGCGACTGCCGATTTGACCGTCGCCCCAGAACCGTGAAACATAGAGATGTCCCGGCCTGGGCAGGATCGACAACATCGCAACGTTCAACGACATCACCGGCACATCAGAGTTCATCCGACGTAGCCCAGGCGGTTTCCTCGGCAGCATTGACTCAAGCCGATGTTCGACCTCATCAACAAGAGGTCTCTCCTGAAGACACTATTCCATCAACCGATCCTGATAAGCACCCCATCGCATGGCCTCAGAGCTCCCTTCCGGACAGCAGGTCAATCTCTGACAGAGTCATGTCGAGTCTTGTGACGGGTTCTAATGATGCGCTCGACGTGTTGTCTGACGCGGCAAACTTGCTTCATCACAATACGGCATCACCTGCTTCTGGGCCACCCACACAAACAACTCTGGCCATGCAAGATGTCCCAGTCGCTGTCCCTGCGGCTAGGAGTCCAGGCTGTCAGAGCGGAGCGGGGTTCAACATCATATCTCTGTCAGAGCCGACTGATGCCATCCTGGACATGTGGGATAAATGCAGATTTGTCAGACAAGGCTGGTTTACCTCACAAGAGGCCGTCACATATGTTGATCTGTGAGAGCATAAAATGCAATGAAGAAGATTGACCACTGACCCTGAATGCAGATTTTACAAATACCTGTCTCCATGGTCACCAGTCGTCGTTGATCAGTATTGGAATCACGAAGCACACACCGCTCTCATATGTGAAGAGTCAATGCTTTGTTGCACCATATTGATGATCTCTTCACGATTCTTCATGCTACCAGGCGCAGGCGGAGTATCTAGAAGCCACCTTATACACAACCGTCTTTGGCAGTATTGCGAGTCCCTGATAAAGCGAATCATACTCGGCCAGGAGAAAGTCTCATCCGCCAAAATGAGAATCATTGGAACTATTGAAAGTTTATTACTGATATCGGATTGGCATCCCCGCGCTGTACATTTCCCACCGGATACAGAGGGTTGGGATGCCGTGCTAGTCGACACCGAATACGATCGCCAAAATCGCAAGCGTACAAATAATGAAGAACCACTCCTCCGGTGGCGTAAAGATGTATTCGAGCCAGCAAAAAGAGCCAGTCGGATGTCTTGGATGCTTCTTGGCTTGGCGACAAATCTCGCATATGAGCTTGGGATTTTGTCCAGCGACCATCAAGGAGACGCATCTGGCCTCAATATAGCTGAGCGTCGGAAATTCCGAGCTCAAAAGCTTCTTTACACCTACATGACACAGACAGCGACACGACTTGGCTATCAAACCGTGTTCCCAGAAAGCATTTCAATTGTAGTCGCCCGATCATCAATGCGACATATAGACGACGAGGCACAGGTTTCATGGAACACTCACATGGATGCGTACCTGGAGCTTACCCGGCTTTCGAAAGTGGCATCGACAATGTTCTTTCAGTCCAAAAATCACCTGGAGGCTGTTCTTCAAAATGATAACTACCCCGATCTTCTGGAGCACTTTCTCGCCTCGCTGTCGACCTGGAATAATACGTTTGGGTCGACTCTGACAGGTTTGAAACCCCACTCCCAACTGACCAGATCACCTTCTATGTCTGACTAGTTTCGCAAGATACTCACGAACCTCTCAAAGACTCGCTGCTCATTGAATTGTACCACCTAAAAGCCTGCATTGGTTCTATTTCCATACAGGCAGTAGTAAAACGGGCAACTGTTTCGGGGTCAGTGCGGCCACATCAAGACGGTCTGGCTTCGTACATGACCGTTCAAGACGCGAAATTTTTGCAAAGTGTCCTTTCAGATAGCTGTCAGGTGCTAGAAATGGTAACCGAGAGACCATTCAGGGAACATTTGGCATACGCTCCTGCCCGTATCAGACTGAACGTAATTTCAGCGTCTGTTTTTCTGCTAAAGGCTATCAGCCTTGGATCACCAGCAACAGATGTGGATGGAGCTCTGCGTGCGCTGGATCGGTGCACTTCTACCCTAAAGAACTATCCGCCAGACGACATGGACTTCGCGATGAGATACGCTGATCTTATTGAAAGACATGCGTCAAGTCTCCGTGGCACGCTGTCATCGATGTCTCAACCTTTGAGAGAAGGAAGGAGGCCGAGCCAAACCTTGCCACATGGCCATATGAGCAGTCTGTATAGCGGACTTGATCTCACAGCTTCTCATTCAGAGACGACAGCGACAACTGAAGCAGCATTACTGGATCAGTCGGGGTTTTGGCGAACGTGGCAATTTGACTCCAGCATAGCTCCATTTGGCGATACAGCTGATCAGTTATCCCACGGTTTCGATGTTGATTCTCTCAACTTCTTATGGAACCTGCCGGATATTAGCTCGTGAAGCAATCAAAGGTCCTGTCTTGCAACTTGAAGAATACTTTGCCCTAGTCAAGTCACATTGCCGCCGCGGTGTCCGGAAGCTTGCCCAGTATCGAAAAGAGCAGTCAGAGAAAACAGAAGTCAGGTACCAGTCAATACCAACGCCATTTTGTTCCGTGTCGATCCGCATCGGACCTCATAGGTCCGTGTCAATCCGTGTCAATCCGATGGGCCCCGCACCGGCCTGCTGGCCCTCGGCCCCGCTCCTGCCATCCGTGTAAGGCCGGACTGAACCTCACAGAGTACATCCGGCATATGCTATAATCCATCTGCAACCGAGCTTATCGAGCCATACTTTGTCCGGGCTAGACGACAATCAATCGAGCCAGCGACAGTGTCACTCGAGCCACGGACGCTAGCGGACGGAAACGTGCAGGATCTCTGGGGTAGTCTGGGGTAAATCTGGGGAAACCTAGCATGCGATTGTCATCATCAGCAAAGATTTGTATAAATACTTCACTCGATTTTCCGAAATTTTCAACTGTTTCTTGTTCAGATCGCCTCCGATTTGAAAATTTGCACGTATGACCAACGAATCCCAACGAGAATTCATGAAATGGCCCCTATCGAACTCAAGCAAGATACGCCTGCTTGCGATCATGTTGAGAAAGGCGAAAGCCTTGGGCCAGTAGCCAGCAATATTGGCCATACTGGCACAGGTAAAAAAGTCAGTCCAGCAGAGATCAAGCTGGTGAGGCGCCTAGATTGGACCATTCTCCCTGTGCTTTGGGTCATGTATTGGTTCAAGTAAGCAATGTTAGGATCAGCTGAAGCGCCGCGGCTGATTACTACAGCTACCTCGATCGGAATGCTATCACTGTCGCTAGGTTAGACGGAATGGAAAAAGAGCTCAACATGACATCGACGGAGTACCAGACCTGTGTCTCCATTCTTTTCGTGGGGTACATCTTGGGGCAGATTCCAAGCAGTAAGGCCTCCCTCACATGCCATTCCTAAGTCTGACTTTTACAGATATGCTCATAACGAGGGTTCGTCCTTCCTGGTTCATGGGAGGAGCGATGGCTCTATGGGCCATCGTTAGCACCCTCACAGCAGTGATCAAAGACTACAAGGGTCTTCTTCTCACACGCTTCTTCTTGGGGATCACGGAAGCCCCCTTCTACCCAGGAGCTTTGTACATTCTCGCCATGTTCTACGACCGACAAGAAATTGCCACTCGAATTTCGATCTTGTTTAGTGCTAATATTTGCGGCACGGCTTTTGCGGGTCTCATCGCTATTGGAGTCTTCCAAATGGAACAACTAGCCGGCCTGTCTGGCTGGAGATGGTTATTTATCATCCAAGGGGTCATCACATTCGTCATTTCTATTGCCTCCATCTTCATTCTACCGAACGAGCCCCTTAACACGCGATGGTTGTCTGAAGATGACCAAAGACTTGCGCATTCCCGGGTAGCGAGAGACACCGTCGAACTTGAAGATAACACGAGCACTTGGGCCGGCCTGGTCCAAGCGATACGCGACCCGCATCTTTGGGTTCTTGTCTGTTGTCAACATTGCCACATGGCTGCAAGCAACTTCAAAAACTTCTTCCCCACGATAGTTGAAACTCTGGGCTTCGATAGGAACGTCACTCTCGCTCTTACTTGTCCACCTTATCTAATCTCCGGTGTTATATCTGTAATTTGGGCGGCTAGCTCTGGTGAGCTTCTTGCATACTCTTTCTTCTGTGTCTACATGGTTAACAATGGATTGCCAACTTCAGGGCGTTTCAACGAAAGAGTGTGGCATATCACGATCGCCAAAGCTATTGCGGTCTTCGGGTTTGTCCTCGCCTGCAGTACGCTGAATACCGGGGCTCGTTACTTCGCAATGTGCGCGTTCGCAACCGGAGTCTATGCCTGCAACAGCGTGATCCTGGGATGGGTATCGAGTACTTGTGGGCAAACTAGAGAAAAGAAAGCTGTGTCTCTTGCGTTGGTAAATACCATTGCCACAATCGGACCCATATACACTCCTGTAAGTACACATACACATTGCCTCAAGGTTGCGTCCCTCAGGCTTGGCTCACAATTCTGAAGTATCTTTGGCCGGCCTCAGACGAACCCAGATATACAACTGCAATGGCCTCAAGTGCTGCATTTTCTGCGGCAGCTGCGGCCTTGGCATGGCTTCTTAGACGGATGCTGATCAAAGAGAATCAAAAAGTACTGCGCTCAGGGACAAGCGATGTGTTACTTTATAGTTATTAGTATTATAGCGGGCTAGTTACAATTTCTTCAAAACCCGTCGCTCGTTGCTCAAATCCATCTTCCCGGTCCATTGCTCGTGTATCTTTTGCCTGTCCGTGTTACAACCAACAGCGTATTCAGTTTCATTTCGTCTTTCATCCTTTTGTGGCTCGTGTACCGGGATGTACGGCTCGGCTTAGAGAGTTGCAGGAAATGTGATGTGCCTGAGGAACTCGCTACTAATGTTTCCGATTTCTCTCTACACCGTCCATCTTTCGCGATTGGGCTCTGCATGGAAGGTCCGTGGACGATTTCACCTTGACAAGCCGATGAGGTGTGCAAGATACCGGTGTCGCAGGGGTTGATGCTGAGAAGACTCTCTCGACAGGGCGAGATGATGGATGAAGGCTGTCCGAAGTTGCCTTTGTCAAAGTCGGGATTAAGAAAGATCCTTTGCCAGCGGAAGAAGTGTTATCATCGGAGTACGATGAGACACTACATGGAGGTTGGTTTGGGGTAATGACCAGACTCGGTAGTCTTTGGGTCTTCTTTTGCCGTATCTGGTCTTGTCTAGCTCTTGAATCGGGAGCAAGTTTGTAATCGGACCGGATGATTAGTGACGAAAGATCAGCACCAAATGAGCCCATTGTAGCTTCTTTGGCTGTTTTGTCTCTGAGCCCAGCTTTTTCGACCGACCGATGCCAGTTTGTAACGCTGTCGTGACCCATTGTGTTTGGATATGGCCTGGAGCCTTGCGAGTGACTTCTAAGGCGCCCAATCGAATTGTCATGTGCCTGTAGATGGGTTGAAGGTATCATAGCAGACATCCTCCGTCCCCGATCAAAAACAACTCTTCCAGTTGCCATATCCATCTCTTCCCATTCATCATCAAAAAACAGCGCTACTAACTAATTAATTAAGTTAAATTAAGGGGTCTAATTTAGCTATTTAGCCTAAAATTTACAGTAGATTTAGCTATTTAGTTTATTTAAACTTAAATTAATAGATTTAATCTAAAATTACCTATTTAGGAAGTTAGTGAGGCTATCGTAAAGTCTCTAGGGGTTAGATATATATATAATATAGTATTTTGAGGTTATCTTAATACTATTAGCCCTTATAGAAGTAGAGGTAATTACTAATAGTAATACTACTACCTTAAACCTAATTCTAGAGGTACTAAGTCCTTTTAAATAAATTTAGTATTATTAATAACCTCTATAATATTAGTATAAGCTTAATAAGGCTAAATACCCTCTTATAATCTATTACTATTACTAAAATAGTAAAAATATTAAGAGTAAACTTACTAAAAGTTAGAAAGATCTAGTAATATAAAATCTACTAGGTAATAAGGTTATTAATAGGTTAAGTAATTAATAAATAATAATAGTAATTTAGTTTAGAAGCCTTATTAATAATAATACTTTAGGATCTATTATTTAACTATTAGCTATATTTAGAGTTTTTAAACTTAGTAGAGGTTAAAATAGATATAAAAAAGCCCTCTAGAGGTATTAGTAAAGTAATACTATTAAGTAGGTTAGTATATTATAGTTCCTAATATTTATAAAGACCTTATTTAGTATTAGGAAGCTATATATCTATCTTAAGTATATCCTAACGTTTTTTAAGCTATTATACGCCTCACCTAAGGTATAATATTATAGCTATAATATATAGAGGTAACTTAGTAAATTTAGTATAATATTTATTAAATATTAATTAGCTATTAATAATAGAGATATATAAGTAACTCTTTAAGTTAAAGTTAATATTATAGTTAAGCTAATAATCTTAAGAAGTATACTTAGTATAAGTATATATAAGGATACTATTAATTAATAGGGTTTATAAGGATATTACTACTTAGTAAGAAGATTACTATAATAACTTTATATACTAACTTAACTATATTAACTAACTTTAAGCTAGTTATATAATTATAGTTTTAATCTCTTTATTAGTAGGGATATTATATAGCTTTTACTAGTCCTCTAACTTATCTAAAAGATATTCTATACTTATAAAAACTTCTTAAAGTTAACTATACCTATTACCTTTACTTTAACCTTTATAATATTTTATCTATAAATAGAGAGGTTTAAAAATATTTCTAAGTTTAATAAGTATATACTAATCCTTATTAATAAGGTTATCCTTATTAAGTAGGTAATACTTTAGCTTTAGAATAGACTTATTATTAAGGATAAAGTTATTAATCTAGCTATATTTAAGTAGAGCTCTCTAAATTATTATATATATTAAGTTCTATCTTATTATATTATTTAGTATTAATTTAAGCTTTTAGGTTAACTCTTCCTATAGAGTAAATATATTAAGGTTATTTTAAAGTTTATTACTAATCTCTAAAAACCTCTTAGTATATTATAGTAATAACTTAATATACTTAATAATATTATAGAGTTTACTAACTAGCCCCCTTAATCTCTAAAGTACTAAATCCTCTTAGATATTACTAGCCTTAATATAATAATTAGACTTTTATTCTAAAGTTACTTAATTAATACTATAGATAATAGTTTAACCTACTAAATTAAGGATATAACTATAGTATTAAATATATTATTATTCTATATCTTTTTTAGTAAAATATAGTAAGATAGATAGATAGAGAGCTTTTAGATAGGTGTTATTATTATTAGTATTATTATATACTATTATACTAACTTAATTAAGTATCCTAAAGTTACTAATAACTATATATATTATTAGAGTAATATTCTCACTAATATAAGTACTAAGTTAATAATAAAAAACTAAAAGGTATTATATTTACTTACCTAATTTATTAATAAAGTAGCTAAAAATAGTAATAATAGTATAATAGTTAGGTAATATCTATAAGTTAAATAATAAGTAAACCTAGCTAAAGGTATTAAGTATCTCCTTCTTAATCTATTCCTTTTTAGATATATATATATAATTAAGATAAGTCTTTATACTATTTCTTAACTAATAAATCTAATTACTAATATTATAATTAAATAAGTTAAAAATATACTAAATATATTAGTTACTAAAAGTTAAAAAGGGGTTACTAATATTAACTAAGAAGCTTATAATTAGATCTTTAATCTAAATAACTCTTAACTTAGGTATAGTAATAGAAATAGAGTAGTAGTACTTTAGAAGTAAGCTTAAGTTATTAAAGTTATTAATAGGTATAAGATTAACCTAAATAATATAATATAAAGTCTTAAGATAATTAATAGTAGAGCTTATAGCTAAGATATTAAAAAACTTATTAATATTATTAGCTTTATTATAATAGTAGTAGACCTAATATATACTACTTATATAGCTTATTAGTATAAAAAAGAGTAAACTAAATAGATACTATACCTAAAGTATTATTAAGTAAGATCTTATATATAAAGAAGCCCTTATCTCTAATCTAAGAGGTATAGCTTTAAAACCCCTTCTTTAAGATCAGTTTAGTATTAATAAAAGACCTATTCTTCTATATAGTATAAAGTAAAGCCCTTAATAAGTCTCTTATATTAAGGTTAGTACTTAATATATTACTAGCTATTAATATAGTATATAGTTAAGTAATAATACTATAAAGTAATAATAAGAGTATAAAGCTAATAAAGTAATTAAAATATTAACTAGTATTTAGTAGAGGTATTATAAAGGTAAATAAGCTATTAAAGAAAGTATTAAAAGAGTATATAGATAGGTAAAGCTTTAAGGGATTATTAGTAGTAGTAGTAGTAGTAGTAGTAATAGTAGTAGTATTAGTAGTAATATTAAAAAAGGGTTATTTTTAAGGGCTAATATAGAGGTTAAAAATAGACTTTTTTTAACCCCTAATAAGGGGGCTAAAAACGTATTAATTAAGTAGTATAGTAAAAAGTATATTTCTAATACTTTTAGTATTTCTTAGTAGTAAAGCTAATACTACTAAGAAATACCTAGCCCTACTTTAGTACTTATTAGCCTAAAGGTATTACTAAATTAATATTTATAACTACTTACCCTTTTTTTTTTAGAGATATATTATAATAAGACTTAATAAGCTAGTAGTAAATCTACTATATAGGGAATTATAGAGATATTAGTTTAAAACTAACTTAAGTTATTAACTTTAGTATAAAGTTATAAGGGTTATAACCTTAAGTAACTAGAAAAGGTAATATTAAGTTAACTTTTTTGTTTTTTTTAATTAAAAAAATAAATCTTTTAAAAATTATAATTAATCTAGAGGCTAGATTTTATTTCTTCTAGTTAACCTCTAACTTAATTAAATCGTCTAAATCTATAGTAATAATAACTTAATTATTTACTTTACTAAATAGCCTTAATTTGATTAGCTAATTAATTAATTTGTTTGATTTAACTTGGTTAGTTAGTAGCGCTGTTAAAAAAACGGCTGGCAGCATGCTTCTTCAGGGACTCTAGCCGGGGTGGGAGGCTTAATAGGCCAAAGGACGTCTGTGAAAAGCCTAGGGCTTGATTCATATTTCCACAGTTATCCTCTGCAATCCTAGATGATGGATTTTCGTCTTGGTCTGGTCTGCCGCTGGCTTGCATGCCTCTATGCTGGTCTGTTGTCTCGTAAGGATGCTTGCGTTCATCGATCTCCCCGTCGAACATATCGAAGTGGATGAAAGGAACGTTGCGAGCTGCGATCTCCATTTTCTTCTCCGTCTCAGACCCGGGTAGTTCTCGGTGTGCCTTTCGAAGAGATTTTTTGATCGAACCTTTCAGCTTGTTAAGCTCCTGGAATAGCCTCTCTTGAGAGATATTGTTTCTGAAGCTGAGAGCACTAAGAAATCGTCAATTTGAAGAAACCAAAAATCTTGTTCCAAATAAAAATGCTTACATGGTCACCAGCTGCAAATTCATCTGAATAGCCTAGTTCGAATTGAGGATCTTGACCTTGTAGTCTTGAATCTCTTCCTTGTGGATACTTAGGATGAAATAGAAGTTTGTTTTTCTGAGAAGTTTTTGCAAGCGGATTGCCTTCCGCGTCGAAATGTACGCTGAGTTTTCTGAGAAGCTGATCGATACCGGCGATGTTGGACTTGCAGTCTGCTAAGGTGTCTCCAAAATGTCCCCATATGTTGTGATAAAAATGAGAAAGTGACGGTACGTGTGTCTGGCACTGTCTCACTGTCTTGTCCACAGACACAAGGAGTACAGACAGCTTTTGGACCTCTTCGAAAGCATCTGATAGTTTGATGTCGACATTCTTGACCTTTTTGGCCAGTCGAATCAACACAATAGCAGTCTGCAATAGCGTCAGCATTGATGAATCGAACAACAAGCGGGTATTCCTATGGTCTGCCTCTCTTCGCAGACCGAACCGAAGGATATGGAGAAACCACTCACACTTCCAGCAGCTCCTGCTAGTGACGCTGCAGTCGCAGCAATCGATATGGGGTCCATTTCAGATGTAATGAAGACCGAAGAGGCATTTGAAATGAACACTCCTCGTGAAGGCTCAGAGTCTGTCAAGAAGAAAGACACTATGCTCCTAGAAACGATCAGATATAAAGGATTCTGGAGAACGATGAGCCATTCTAGCGTTGGTATTGCGGCTATCTGAGAACATTCCAGATCAAGTTTAAGCATATTAGTCGGATCTTGAAATGGGTGGCTGGCAACGTCAACCGTTGGCGCCACTGGGCGCCTCATACCGCTGAGGCTGAAGCAGGAGCTGACAGCGAATCGGGACCACCAAAATATAGACCTGTCCGATTTGGGACACTTCAGACGTCTAGCACGATTGAACTAGAAGGCTTACTTGGTTTCAAACCACACGCCAGCGTACCAAACGGTTGGATAACAGACGAAGTAAAGGGGACAGGCGTGGCATGCCGAGACCAATCTCACTTGGTGCACCAACCACTCTTAGTCCCTTACTCCTGTGGTTGCTTTAGACTCAAAATAGTCGAACAGAAAGATAATGCTTCCTCCTTTTCTAGAAGGACAATCTTGCTTTTTCCTAATATGATCGCGTTTTTTACTAGTGTTTGTCGATGCTCAAGTACAACCGCCATATTTTCGACCACGATTCTATTGTTACACCGAAAACAGCCACCCACAACCCCTGCAAACGTGCAATTGACCATTTAATATGCGCATAGCTAAGGTCTTGTCTCTCTGGTCCCCTTTTCTTCCGGCTCGATCAATTTGTTTCAGTCACCACTAAGGTAGTTCATTGCTTCACAACCACGAAAGAACCCCTGATGAGCCAAAATAGAGTTCACCCCTTACCTGGGAAAAGATGCAGCCACGCCAGATCTCCCGCAGATCTGAGGGGAGGGCGCTAAGCCCTAGGCTTTATGTAGCGCTCGGAAGATTGTTCCGATCCGCAAGAGGTAGCCTGTAGCATTCTCAAACAAATTTCTCGTTCCCGGCACCGGACTCAACAACGTGGTTGGGACACGTGTTGACAGGCACATTCACGAGTTTTCCGTAGCTCTCCCAAATGATCAACGTCATTCAATGAACCCCGGGCCGTAAGACGTGTTGTGTTTCGGGATGCAATTCAAGGATTTCTCGAGCATCCTTCTATCATTCTTAGCTTAGAAATTACCAAGTACTTTAATGAATGATTCTTACGAGCAAGGTACCTAGTCGTAAATGCTCAACCAGCCGAATTTAGCAATCATAGATACGAAGTAATCTAAACTTTAGAGAAGGAATATCACATAGACGGGAAAAAATGGAACTGTACAGGCTCGAGTGCAATTTATCATTAACTCATCCGCTATATTGTATTCTGTAGCGAGCTTTCACACCTTAATTGAATATTAATACTAGGAAAGTGCTCTGATTTGCGTAGTAGACATTTTCAATTCTTGGAATCAAACTTCTGCGAGTTTGTCGTCGGATTCTTAACACCTTAGCTTATATAATCTCGCTTGATAACGCTCAACAATTTCAATCATTGCCGGGTGTTCACCGCTGGTGAGCAGCACCTTCTCGGTGAGCATGGAACAAGGTGAGGAACACTATGAAGGTAACTGGGGTTCCCCATATTTCCAAGCTCGGACACAGTGCATTCGTATCACTATCCGTACGAATACCTACTGAGATAAGCTGAGTCTAGCCACAAAGCACGTGATCGGCGCCACAGATCTCACCAGTGAGCGAAGCCCGTGCCACTCCATCTTACATCACCAGCCTCATCAGCCTCGCGGACGTCGCGCGTCAACCAGATCTCCAAGTCTCATCTAGAACCTCATCGTCGCAGATCGCAACAATGTCCACCAACGCCCCTGAAGCAAACGCAGAGCAGGCGCCGACCGCGCCCAACTCGCAAGAGGCTCCTGCCCCCGGCGCCGCTGCGGCTGGCAGTGCCCCGGCGGCAGCCCCTGCTGCTGCTGTTCCGGAGGCAGTCGCGCCTGGTCCCGAACCAAAGGCGATCACTCGTAAGGACATGTCTCTGCGCGAGTTCCTGACCAAGATGGACGACTACGCACCCATTGTATGACTCTTCATCTCCCAGCCTCAACGATGCATTTGGAGCTAACTACGATGGTCACAGATTCCTGATGCGGTTACAAACTACTACATGACCAAGGCCGGCCTCCCTCCCCCACCGCAGACCGATCCCCGCCTCGCGCGCCTGCTCGCTCTGGCGACGCAAAAGTTCATCGCGGACATTGCCGCCGACGCGTATCAATACAGCCGCATCCGCGCGTCCAACTCCAACGCCAATAACCCCATGGGCAACCTCGGCGCCGCCGCCGGCTTCCCCATCCCCGGCCAGCCGACAGGCCCCGCTGGCGCAAAAGACCAGGGCCGCGGTGGCCCGTTGGGTATTCAGCGTCCCGGCTACGGTGGCGGCGGCCAAGGAGGTAGCCAGAACCGCACGGTACTGACGATGGAGGACCTCGGTATGGCCGTGGGCGAGTACGGGGTCAACGTCAAGAGGAGCGAGTTCTACCGGTAGAGGAGTGGGCTTCAGCAAAGGTTTCTTTCCGGACGGGTGTATACATATCAAGGCGTTGGATGGTTTGCTTCGGCGTCGAGGGGCCAGGGAACATGGCCAAATGATTTTACAGTTTCAGCGGGAAAGTCACGCACGACCAAGAAAGAATGATACAATAGAGCCCATTCGTATATGAAGCAGAGGGTCATCATCGGCACATGGCCTTGCATTTTGATGCTGCAATGCATCGCTGCTATCTTGACAGTGTTGTACAAATGTCGGTCGTCATTTTCCTCCTCTCGCCAGAACATCCCCGGCTCCTCAGCAAACGTCCTCTTACAACCTGGACCAGATGAAGGGCTTTCTCGTACTAGGGCGGGGCGCATTAGTTCCTGCTCAAGTCGTTTGCAATGTATGTGTCACTCACGGCGCGAATTCTCCCAGCTTGTGTCCTACCATATCCTCCGTAATGACCACGTCGAGGAAATATCTTCCATTGTAGACCTGGAACTTGAGGCCGACGAAGTTGGGCAGAATAGTGGCCGAGCGAGCCTGCGTTCTGATGGGAGGGACCTTCTTGCCAGGTGCTGGGCGGACGATGGCGAGACTGTTCGCATCAAGGTTAGGATCGAGGGGTGTTGGCCGAGGGGTATCGCAAAGGGTTCTCTTACGGGACAATATTCGGTCCTGGAGGCGCAGCTGTCAGTTCACCATTTCCACATCAATGCAAGATGATTGCGACTTACCCTTCCAAACCGATCTCTTCAGGAGGGCCAACGTGGGTTGCATTTTGGCGGCTGATGACCCTGTCTTGGGTTGATGGCGCTGCTGCTCTTCGCGATTCAACGCCTTGCTGCTGCGGCGCGCGGGAGGAACTTTCCGAGCTTCGAGAATTTGTCCATGTCACGTGATGAGTCACCGTTGCGGTACAGTGCCGCTGCAGCTGCTCCCGTCCGCCCCCAACGGAGACCCACTTCAAGTACCGTCCCTCGTGCTGTTTGGTTCAACACATGGCCTGCAGATTGTCACCGAAACCAAAGTCGAACGTAACAACCGAAGTTCTAGTCGCATCACAAGTTCACCTGATGTTCATTGCAGTTCCTCTTCACCGCTCGAATGGTAGAGCCACTGCGGAATAGCTGCAGCACACAATGCGCTATATGGATACCTACCCGTCGTTTCAGACGGCCAGAGAACGCTGGACTCGGTCAACTTTGTTTCCTGTCACGAACTGATGAAACGACTCAATCATAGTTTGGATATCACACAAGGCCCACCCTGCTCCCCTTCTGAATGCGAAAGCCGGCCAGCGGGCTCGAAAAGAGAAAAATCGCCTGTGCTGGAAGCTCGCAGTCAGCCCAATACGGCATTTTCCCCTCGTCTCATATCCGCAAACCAACGTCATGGACAGGCAAGAGATCGCATTGCCTCCTATTCACCACGAGCCGTCTCCCGATTTCTATATGGATGCCAATTATCTTGCAACCGTGCTAGCATCATCCTCCCGGCCTCGCGGCTCAGTCTGGGCCTCTATGTGCTCCCACTTGATGATCAATGTGGGGAAAGTAGTCAACCTGGCGATCCCTTAATTCCAGCCCGCTATACCACGCGGAGGGAGATTCCCCGGCCATGTGAAACCAGCCCAACTTAATTCCCCCTTTGGACCAACATCAGTCCATCACTCAACTGAATCCTGTTGCCGGGAAACTCTGCCAAACATGTCATTGTCTGCGCCATACTTGCTTTTGTCAGGCCGTCACGGTACTTGGCTTGCTCAAATTTGCTCAAGTGCCGCTGCTGTCACCCCAAATTGCTCCGACGCCAGATGTATGTACTCAGATGGTTACGCAGACAGACTGCATGTAATCTAACCCCGACGTAACTAGACCACCACGACCCGAGCAGCCGCAATCCTCGGCATTCTCGGCACCAATAACCACAACGTGACAAACCAGGAATGATGCAAGGTCCAGAGCGAAAAGCGCCCTAGGAGGTCCAGGTCCCGAGATCTGCTCTTCCCTGCCGGGACTACCCCACACGGCACATCATCCATGCCAAGCAAGCTTAGCCGGAGGAGGCTCTCTGTCTCTCTCTCGTCTCTATGTTACAGGCACACTAGCCAGGTTCCCAAATTTTCCTGCAAATCGCGTGCCTTTTTGGCTCTATACATGGGACGGAGCAAGGGACTCCGTCACGATGGGCCCTGGACGAAGCCAGCCAGCCCCCAAAGTTCAAACCACACCCCCTAAAACTGTAAACGAGACGAAAAAGAAGAGGGGAACGATGGGCCACGAGGGCGCCGAGTATAAAGCCCACGGTGCCTCTGGACTGATCTAGGGTGGTGGTCTTGGCTTTCTGGACCTCATCCGACCTTTACCTTCTTTTCTAAGTCTGACCCCAATTTTTTGAGCTTCTTCCAATTTCCATTCTTTCTTCGACACTATGAAGTTTTCCAACTTGGCTCTCGGAGCTGCGTCCGTCGCGTCGGTCCTGGCGGCCCCCGTCGACGGCTCTGCCAAGTCGAAGCGCGCCGGCAAGTTCACCTTTACCGGTGTCAACGAGTCCGGTGGTGAATTCGGCCAGGCCAACCTGCCTGGACAGCTGGGCAAGGACTACACATGGCCCAACAAGACGGCTATTGACGTGAGTACTTGTGGTGAAGGGGGTAAAGCAGGAGGCTGACTGAGTAAGACCCTGAGGGCGGCCGGCCTCAACACCTTCCGTATTGGAACTATGATGTAAGTGTAAGAGATGGGCTGTGAAGTCCTTGTTTATTGACATGCAACAGGGAGCGCATCATTCCTGACAAGTTGACGGGCACCATCAACGAGACCTACTTCTCTGGTCTTGAGGACGTAAGTTTTGTTCGTTGTCGTTCACATGCCAGCATCAGCTAACCCAGCCATAGCTCGTCAAGGACGTTACCTCAAAGTGAGCACCGAGAAGACTCTCAACCGAATCACAGCAAATTGACAATTACAGGGGCTCCTACGCCGTCATCGACCCCCACAACTACGGCCGCTACTACGGCAACATCATCACCAGCAGCGCCGACTTTGGTGCCTGGTGGAAGACCGTTGCCGCTCGTTTTAAGGACAATGAGAAGGTCATCTTCGACACCAATAACGAGTACCACGACATGGACAACACGCTGGTCCACGACCTGAACCAGGCCGCCATCACCAACATCCGTGCTGCGGGTGCTACGACCCAGAACATCTGGATCGAGGGCAACTCGTACTCTGGTGCCTGGCACTGGATCGAGAGCGGCTCCGGCGATGCTCTCAAGAACCTGACTGATCCTTCGGATGCCACCGGCAAGAAGCTCTTCTACGAGATGCACCAGTACCTCGACACGGACGGCTCCGGCACCAACGAGGCTTGCGTCAGCACCACCATCGGTGCTGAGCGTCTTGCCGTTGCTACCAAGTGGCTCAAGGACAACAACAAGCAGGGCGTTCTCGGCGAGATTGGTGCCGGTGCCAACGACCAGTGCGTCACTGCCGTGAAGGGTGCCATCCAGCACCTTTCGGACAACTCGGACGTCTGGAAGGGCGCTCTCTGTAAGTTTTCAACCTTCTGAACTCGTTTTTTTTCACGACTCTAACCTTAAGAAGGGTGGGCTGCCGGCCCTTGGTGGGCCGACTACATGTACTCCATGGAACCTACAACTGGCAAGGCTTTCGTCACATACCTCCCGGTTCTCAAGACTTTTGCATAAGGCCGATCGCGATATTCGGATGTGGGGCCGTATTCGGCCGGCAGAGAGAGAGGGGCCGTGCCTTGTGCCCCGTGCGCCTAATATGTATGGTTTAGATGCATATCTATCATGCAAGCACAAGGGACTGGGCGCGTTCCCTCTGAATCAGTTTCAGTGGTAGATATTTTCTCAAGGGGGCAAACCCCGTGTACATATCTGGAATATGAAGGCATCTTGCCATTGAAGTGCAGCCACTTTGCCACGGAACATGACACACGATTGAAGAGACCAACCAACGCCAAAGCAGGCAATTGAATGCATGACCAAATTTCAGCTGTGAAATGAGGCACGGTGGAAGCTGTCTTGAACAGGCAGGTGGGTGGGTATCTGACAGGATTCCCCACGTTGCAATCAACGAACGTGTCCTCATTGCGTCCCTGAACTCTGGATCCTGGGTGTCGCCTCACCAACATGGAAGATTGAGAACCGCGGTACAGGGACCGGAGTTTTGGAGATGGGGGTGTGGCGTTGGTTCATCGGCCAGACGGACGACTTAAGCCACCGAGACACACATGTCACGAAGACAGATGGTAGCCAACGGAGATTCTAGCCTAGCTCGCATGGCCCAAAGCCTGGCGTCTTTAGAGATCCATGGTTTGTTGCATCGAATGCGCCTGCGGTTAACATAGTGTATTCTCCGTTTGTGTAGGTAGGCAACCAACATACCGCGCAATAGAGGCGACATGAGCCTCACTGCAACCCCTGCAGCCAGGCACCTTATGTGACCTGAAGAAAGACGATGGTAGAAGGCTACAGAATCCCCAGCGCTGAAAATTGTGCAATTCGCAATTCGCCATCCCGCTGGACCCCGAACTCTGGGCCAGACCTACCTACTTACCAGGTACCTAGCTGGGCACAGGTACCCTGAGCGGCCTCTCACCTCTGCAACCAAGCGCAAGCCGCGAATCGGACCGCGCTAAAAAAGCAGCCGGCCAGCAAGGCTCTCCACTAAAGCACCTCTCCACCTCCACCTAACCCAGCCGTTTCGACCACCTCACCCTCAGGGCTCTCTCTGCTGCCAGTACAAAAACTCGCAACCTCCACGTTCGCGCCTCTCGCACCCGACCTCATCCAACCAGCCACCCTCCTCCGTCTCTCTACATCACCCCTCGTTGCATCTGCAGAGGTCGTCTCGGTTCACCTTGTCCCTTTCGTCAATTCCAGGAGTCAATCGTCAATACCGCCAAAATGGTCAGCCCTCAGATGTGCGTTTGCCTGTCCCCCCTCCAAGGCCTCCCGCGCCGCGTCGCATGCAGACCTTGCGCGAAGGCGAAAGAAGCCATCACAGGACGCCAAAGCTAACAATGCCACAGTACCAACCTGATCATCATGCTCGGCATGGTCCAGGTCTCGCGCAAGGTCCCCTTCGATGACCCGAACGTCCTGAACATGTGCCGCGCCGGCTACATTGCCAGCAACGTCCTGATCGCCATCCTGTACCTCTACGTTCAGGCCCAGATCAACAAGAAGAAGGGTTCGTTGCCTCTGTTTGCCGATGCCACTGCACATAGACCACTGACATAGTCCCTTAACAGACCTCACCACCCTCAAGTACGTCGAGCCCGCCCCGATGGGCTCCTCCGAGGAGGGCAAGCTCGTCACCACCACCATCCACGCCTACGACTCGACCCAGCTCCGCCAGGCCTTCCGCTCCCAGGCCATGGGCATCGCCATGATGGCCTTCATGCACATCTACATGAAGTACACCAACCCCCTCCTCATCCAGTCCATCATCCCCCTCAAGTCCGCCCTCGAGAGCAACCTCGTCAAGATCCACGTCTTCGGCCAGCCCGCCTCCGGCGACCTTAAGCGTCCCTTCAAGGCCCCCGCCGGCATCATGCAGGGTCTGCAGTCCGGCCCCGCCCAGAGCGACAAGAAGGCCGTCGAGGCCGCCGAGCGTTCCGGCCGTGGTGGTGCCAAGGAGGAGTAAACTGGTTACATGCGGAAGGGGAAAACTGTGTGTTGGGATACAGGGTACTTTTTGCGTTGGCGCATTGCCCTTGCTTTTCGCCTGTTGCTGGGAATAGAG